AATTATCCCGTTCGACGTACTGGCATAAGACTGTGCCCGTTTCGATCTATTCGTCGTAATGACCTATTTATATTTCACCTTATGCGTCAAATTTTTAGCTTGAAGCCTTTTGCGTACCGCAGGCCACTGGGAGGGGCAATTTACTCTTGCAAATTGCGTACATGATTTTTACGAAAGCAAAATAACTTCTAGGGATTTTCACATAAAACCATATGATTTTAACGGAAATTGTACCAGATTTTCAAAGACTGAATTCGCCCCTCAGGCTCGAGCGTAGAAGAACCGGTGAGATCTACCTAGGCAATAAAATTGCGTATCACGCGTGCGGTATATCAAAGGAATCAAATATAATTAAGGCCTGTCATGAGGATTAGCGCCTGTCAACATGCAAATTTTCTGACCATGAATTCCATGGCAAATACAGGGCCCTGATTGGCTGAAACGGTTCAAGCTGATTTTTTCGCCAGGATTGTGTTTAATCACGATCGATCTTGTTATTACTGATTTTTCCTTCTCCTCGGTGCGTGGATTTTCTCCTCAGAATATGGATCGCGTTGCAGTAAATACTTTGTTAAGCGCTACACCCTGGGCGACATATTCATTTCAAACATTGAATAAAGATCGGATTTCTTTCTAGTTGAGATATATATTTCCATGGAAATAGAAATTCTAGTTCATTTGCCAAATAGGGAAGTCACATTTGCTTTGCATGTTTTCTTGAGCTCAAATGCCTTTTTTCTCAGGGTCAACTTAGTTTGGAAACAGTTCTTAACAGAAGCACAAATTGAATAAGTTTTTGAGGGTGTCAGGAGAAGTTGGGCTGTCTTGCAATCAGAATGGACCAGAATGGCAAGAGCCCCCTGTGCTATAGTAAAATATGGATATTCATTTACTTTTTCTAATGTGATGATATTTTGGTACCTTATTTCACCATGTTTCAGTGAACACTTTTTGTGCTATTATTGACTTTGTTCAATTTTCTTAAACATCTGATAGCATCGACTTCATATAATTTCCCTTTTTGATGCAAAGTGATATTTTAGTTGCAAAATCTAATATTATAGTTAGAACACCTGGTTTTTTAATTGGAATAACCATTTAAATTCTTCCAATTTGATAGAAAACATCTGACAAAAACTTTATTTAATCTCAAATAGGTGGGGCTGTAGACTGCATTCTCCTGAGTGAGAAGGGTTTCAGTTTCAGTTTTCATTGACAATTATAACTAAATACATAATACAAATTATCTAAATTAACTAAAACAATCAAAATACATGACAATCAACTAAAGCAATCAACTAATAAATACATGTTAGAGTCTGGCGGCCAGACAAAGAAGAAAGTGAAGAAAAAAAGCACAATACTGTACAGAACATGGAATGAGCATGGGTTTCAGAAGCAGTCAACAAGACTACATCTGAAAACCATGCTCATATGTATTTAGGTATAACTGTTTAAGGAAGAGCTCTCTAATAGTTAAACTAATTCATAGAGAGCCCCCACCCCCCATCTAAAAACTAGAAAAACATAGACAAATTTATTTTAAAAGAAAAGAGAACAAGACCAGAAGATGTTCTTTAAGAGAGATATTAAAGAATTATTCGTAATTTTAGATGTAGAATTAAAGACCATAACCATTTACAAGAAATTCTTTCGTTTTTGACTTGAAAATATTAAACAAAACTGACATTTTAATGAAAATGGGTATGCCGTTCCAAAGTTTAGCACCAAAATACTTTATAGACCTGACACCATAGAAAAATGTATTTCTTATAGATTGAAAAAGGACACCTCTAGCTGCCTGATGAGTTTCATGACTATGAACAGTGCTACTAAGCTGATAGTAGTTGTGAAAGTGAGAAGGTGAGAGACCATTGAGAGACTTATACACAAATCTGAGTATATCATGGTGAATTATGTGTTTTAGTTTTAGAATTCTTAAGGAAAAAAAGCTAAGTGTCGAGGGAGGGAAGAAGGACTGGAAGGAAATAGACGGGAGTACTTTTTTCTGCAAATAAGAAGAGTGGTTCAAGATAGGTATCATTGGAGATACCCCAAGTTGATAAACCATAACTCAGAAAGGAAGAGAACATGGGAAAGTAAAATTTTTTCAATATGTCAAGGGGAAGGAGATGTCTAATTTTAGAGAAGATCCCAGATGTTCTTGAGAGTTTCTTAGTAAGTTCAGAAATATGAAACTTCCAGGAAAGGTACTTGTCCATCAGTACACCAAAGAATTTGACATATCTAGATCTGGTCAAAGAATTCTTACCAAATTTAAGAAGGATATGCTCAGGCAATTTCTTTCTTGGGGAGTGAAATACAACATATTTTTTTTTTCAATATTCAATGCTAATTTATTAGCTTCAAGCCAGGATTTTACTTTTAGAAGTTTTCTATTTATTTTACATTGAAGTTTAGTAATATTTTCAGTTTCAAAATAAATATTTGTCATCTGCAAACAAGATAAAAGAAAGGAGTTTCGATACATTCATCATCAGGTACCATCTTCTATCAGAAGGTGGAAGCTGATGATGAATGACCCTCCATGACCCTCCAACTATCCCAAAATCTGAGTTTTGGTTTATTGTCATGATCATAGATTAAACTAAGGGGCTAATAGTAGAGATGGGCCCCCAGGATCACCTCTACAGTGTTTTTAAAGGGACACCATCCCTTGATACATTAGGCAGGTCATTGATATAGATCAGAAATACTAATGGGCCAAGCACAGATCCTTGAGGAACACCGCAAGTAACTTTACCAAGACTAGAAGAATGATTGTTGATTGAGACATACTGAAGTCTTCCAGTGAGATAATACTCAGACCACTGCAATGACGAGCCTCTTAGTCCATAATGATCAAGTTTCTGTAGTAGGATGTTGTGGTTAGCAGTGTAAAATGCTTTTTGCAGGTCAATTAGGAATCAACAGCCAACTCTCTTTGAGTCTATAATATAATTTATTCTCTCAGACTTATCAATGCATGTTCGGTTGAGTGTCCATGCAAATACGAAATCCAAATTGCATTTGAAACAATATTTCATGAAGTTCAAGAAAATTATATAAACGATGATGCATGAGCTTTTAAAGATCTTACTGAATACTGATAGCAGAGAGATGGGTCTGTAATTAGACTTTTATTGTTTCTACCTAGCATCCGAAGGTAGTTTTTAGGACACTGAGAAGCTTATGCTTATCGAACAGTGTCCTGGTCCTTCCTCTCGATGTGACCACACATCGTGATTCCTATGCCTGGAATTACAGAGAGCTGGCGATTCTCCTCAATCTGGGTGAAAGTTTGGCATCCCTTTTTTTGAAGAAAGGAATAACTTTAGCAATCTTTAGTTTATCAGGAAAGGTACCGCGTGGGAGTGTAGAGGAAGAAGGAAAGAGACGAGAGAAAGAAATCTTCATATCGAAGTATGCGCCTCTTTTGAGATCGGCTATATAAGCTGCGCTTTAATAAGGACCACTCTTTGAGAATGGATCAAAAATTGCAAGATCATTTTTTTATGGAAATTTTTGATGAACCCAACTGCATTTTCAGCTTGTTTGAGAAATTTTTGTTAGAATTATTAGTTAGAATTGAGCGTGTCATCCCCGCCACCCCCTTCTGACTTAATTTGCATCAATGATTTTGGTGATGGGAAAGCAAGTTATGGGAAAATAGAGATTTTTGGCAAATTTCGGGGGCTTAAGATGTTCTTGAAACAACTTTTACCTCTTGCAGTTGCAGACTATAAAAAACAGTGCAGCAAACTATGTTCTATCAATTAAACTTTAAATGGTAATTTAACATTTTTTCTGCGAAAAGTTATTAAAGGAAAACCGGTGGGCTGTTTTCACAAATTGCACATTTTTGTTTAAGTTTCTGTTTCAGAGACTTTTATTTAACTACAAAACAGTTAAACCATGGTATTTATGATGTTTACAAATCCAATCAGTCCTATAGATTTAGTTAGTCAGAAGTTGTCTAAGAAAACTGAAGGGAAGTTTGAATGCCTAATATAAATCAATAACAGCAAATGATGCAATGCTGTTATACAACCAGTTTTGTCTGTTTTGTTTGTATCAGTACTATCGTCTGTCGCCTTGCATCATCCCATCGCTACTATTGTTGCCAGCAGTCTCTTTGCCAAGGTCGTACCCCCTCCAATACAGGGCCACTAGACGCAGGTTTGAGCAGGGGGGGGGGGGGAGAAATAAACAGGGCACAAAATATATATTTTTTTCGCAATATTATAATAATAATAATAAGACCATATTAATACAGGTAAACTTGTTCAGCAAAAATGAGTTTGCTGCTATCAATCAAGGACCTGTGAATTGGTTATTGCCAAAATAGGACAGCTTTAATGGTAATTCAGAAATTTAGAAAAAAAACACAGCGTAAATGGCTATGTGCTTCATTCAGGAGTCATGCACTCTTGGGCATACTTAATTGCAGGGGCGGACTGGCCGGTCGGTCCGTCGAGCCCTCTAAAAAGTGTTGCAATTTTTCTTCATTTGACTATGAAATGGCAACTTTGATTGTTTAGTAGGGGCCCTCTTCTTTTGCAATTACAACTAGACTCTAACGAAATAAGTGGATACAGAATGAAAAAAATAAAACTTCGAGCTATCTTAGTACTGAAAAAACATTTTCCAAGATCTGGGGCCCCATGTAAGCACACAGTATTCTGGGCCTAGGGCTCACAGTACCGACCTAGGGCTCCTAATGCAATAATACGATATTTAATGGAAGTTCCAAAATCGGAAAAAATTTCTCATCGGGCCTTCAGTTTCAATGTTTGCAAGGACATGACAGATTTTCGAATCAATTTCTAAAAAGCTAGATTACTTTAATTCTAACCACAGACCTGCCAAGTTTGGTGGGTGCAAAACCTTGAGATTTCTT